ACTTCCCTGTTTGTAATCCTGATACTTGTGGAATAGAGTCTGCTCATAATTTGGTGGCAGGAATTTTTCCCTTATTATCTTCTGCCAAGAGCGTACTGGTGTCTTCCCTTGCCGTGCGCGAGCAACCTGAAGTTGTTCCCACCACACAGAAGCTCCTCCCTTGAGTCTATATGCCACTAGTTTTACCTTTTTATCTTCTTGGATATGCATATAATCAAAGAATCTCTCAACTTCTGCCAACCAATCCAAGATATCTTCAATATTAAGATTACCGTTAAAACTGGAGAGATCCATCTTCATACGAAACTCCCTAGAATCACGATCTCTTTGATCCCGATATCTTCCAACCCCTCTATTTTCTCTAAGCACCTCTTCAGTGTAGTCATCATCACTAAAGTCTTCCTTGTAGGTTGGCTGCCTAGGCGGCGGGATGGGGTTTCGATTCCAAAAAGGACGAGCGCGATCTTCGTCAATGTTTTGCCCTCTGTTGTAATCACGATTTTGATTTGGACCTAACATGAGCCCAGCGAGGGTTGCTTGAATTTCTTGCAACGCCTGTTAGGTTGTTTGTCGAAAGTCCTGGAATTCAACCCTCAAAAGAGCCTCTCTCCGTCGATCTTCGTCGGCAGCGAGGTTGCCATCACCACGTTCATCTGCCATCAGACCAGGAAAAGACAAGGCTCTGATACCAACTAATGTAAACGGAAGCGATAAATTTGTTCACAAGGAACAGGTTACCTTTAATCTACAAAGTGGTGTAGTTTGAATCCACAAACTAGAAGAAAATTCACAGAGGAATCTAATAATATATTTAATAATTGAATGAATGATTTAATAATTGAATGAATGATTTGTTCTACAGTACATGTATTTATAAGTAAAAACCTTACTAGCATAAAGGAAATCCTAAAAATGTAAGGAAACTAGTAGCGCAAGGAAACTACATAAAGGAAATCCTAAAAACGTAAGAAAACTAGCAGCGCAAGGAAATTGCTAAAAAACAAACTTGCTCTGAATATTCTTAAAAAATAAGGAAAGAAACCTAATTACTAAAAACTACTAAATACCAAACAAGAAAGCAAATCGAATCCGTTTAGTCTTCTAACGAAAATCCCGAAATATTCAAAAATAAGAAAACATCATTCTCGAGCCCTAAACGATTGAATTTGGCCAAAAGACGCCTTACCTCGGCAGCGAAGCTGCCGATATATGCGAGTTGGGCCGTTTCTGATAAATCTGGGCTCTTTCCGGGTTCACTTCGGGATCAGTCCAGAAAATCCGTCAATATACCCGTTTGGCCCCCTAGCGGTCCAAACGGGCCATAAAGGCTTCAACAATCAGTTCTACATCAGACTGGTGGGCCATGAGCCCAACTAGTATAGCCTCTATTCCCTCAAAGGGGAGGTGAGGGATTCGAGCCCTACAGTGGGCATTTGTGGGGGAGTGTGATTATTTTCCAAACCATTTTTTTTTTTCTTTCCACTTTTGATCAATTTTTGCAGTGGTTATATATCCATGGGTGTTTACTTGATTTGGATAGAATCTTTAGTTCCATGAAGTGAATAAAACCAAAAGATTTTGTCTATTTGTGTAGGGAGTGGAAATTCCTTTAGTTGTACCTGACACAACTTACACCGTCTTTGATACACTGAAGACATAAAATTTCAGGATGTGGAGAGTTAACCAAATATCATGAATGCATGGAGGGAGATATGACAAATAACCAATTATCATGAATGCATGGAGGTAGAGATGACAAATTTCCCTTAAGAATAACACTTTTGATGGGAAACCCCTACAAAATCCTAAATGGATGACTGGATGAAATTATCAAAGAATGCTGATTGATTACACGATTTGTTAAATAGGGAATTTAACTGGTGGGTTCCAACATATTTAGTGGCTACGTTGCAATATGTGATTGGTGAATTATTCCACTTCTAGTAGTATATGATATGGTTGTTTGTGGAATCACTTATACTTTGTATATCTAGGCCGTTATGACAATACCAATATTATTTCCCAATAATTGACCCCTCTAACATCAGTATATGTTTTTACATTAAATTGACGATCAACAGAAAACTGATCATGAGTTTTTTGGCTACTTATTTTCCATCAATTGCATTATTGCTCCTAAAACATTCAAGTTACGAGTTTCCTATAAAAGAGGGATTATCAAACTAAAGTATCTCAGGGAACATCCTACTGTAGTAGTTTCGAAGATTCAAATAACTTAGAAAGGGCTGTGTGACACTCTAAATTTAATACGCCTTGTATGTGGCGTTTTCACTTCACGTTATGCTCTTAGCTTGGCTCTTGTGAAATTAGAACAGTTTTACAGATAATCGCTTCTAGTCCAACTTCCAAGACATATTAAAAGTAGTACCCCTATTCTTGCAATGTTCGTAATTTCAGCTCTCCAATGAAAATTTGGAGGTAATCTTTAATTCATATCTGAACAGATTGCAAGGTAAACAAGAGAAAACTACTAGATTCTGTGCTAGGTCCTCAACTAGCCAAAATCCTTCATCAGTTGTGTAGGTACTATTAAAGATATGTCTGGTGTTTCAATTGTACAGTCACCATTCATTATGCTATGCCATGCCTTGTAGTTTTGCATTGCATTTGCTAGATAAAATATAGTTCTTAACTACTTGTCTTTTACAATACAAACAACTTAAAATCTAATAAGTGGATTAATGAAATTCCAAGGGGAAAATGCAAAATTAATTAGATATAGCAGAATGAAAACTTCAAAAGAATGGAAGACTACATTGGGATGGAAGAAGTATGCTTTTAGGTGGACACTATTAAAATAAAAGCCTTAAAACACATAAGACAACATTGGAGTTTTATGAATAAAAAGGGTAAATGCCATGGGAGCATCGAATTGCTAATTTATTAAGAGCTGCTGCAGGCAGCTGTGGTTATGGTAGCTGTTATGTTTAGAAAAGTTGGGGGGGGGGGGGGGGGGGGGGGGTGGGGAGTTCTGTAGTTAAGTGTGTGGAGAACGCAAATCTAGATAGAAACGTTGGATCTTAATTGTCTTGCTGGTGGAGGAAAAGATTATCTTTTTTACCCATCTAAACCCAACTCTCATCTTCAGCACATATTCAATGAAAAAAAAGGGAAAAAATTAAAGGCGATGAGTGCCACATGCTCTGCCAACCTTCATCTTCTAAAGGTTTGTGGTTCTTTGTCTTAATGCTGCATTGGTGTTAAGAAGGGTGTCAAGGATAAGAGGAAGGCCGTGGATATTCTTCTAGGAAAGTAAGAAATGGATGTGATGGGTGGTTCATTGTTTATCAAAGTTATTATTATACTGGGCACTGTTGAGAACAAAATAGTACAGCTAGTAGAGGAACAAAGTATTCAAATTTTATAATAATTCTGATACTCTAGTCTCTATATTGAGAAATCATGCATTCGTGTATTGCTATAATGTACATACCAATTATCACAGTGATTAATCTTATTCATTTCAAGTTTTTTTAAAGTGATATTAGTAATTGAAACAGTGTTTATCTCTTCACCGACATATGATGGATTTACATTCTAAGCTTTTCTGCTGTATCTGCTGACCTAGGAAGCACGGACACAGTTATGCCACTATACGGACACGATGATACAGAAAATCTCAAGAAAGTAGGACCCGGACACAAGGATACGTCAAAAAAGTAAAAAAATAAAAAATATATTATTATTGAAAAAAAATTTATTTGTTTTTTTACACGTTCTAGGGGATGTCACCACTTTTTTTTTTTTTTTCAATTTCTCAATAATACCATACACATTCTAGGGGATGTCTCGGTGTCTCCACTTTTTCTTCTAATCTTCTATTTTTCTTCTTTTTCTTCTTCTCGTTTTCTCTATAATTAATTTGGCTTACAATTTGATATGAGAAGTGAGAACAAAGCTTCAGGCAAAACCGAAGATATGAGATGTTTGTTGGACTAATAAGCATAATTTTTCATTTTACCCTGTTAAGTTTGAAAATTCGAGCTGAGCCCCAAGGTTTTTTAAAAAATATTTACAAATTGACCCAGCAGTGTCCTTGCATCCAGCCTTGTCCTTACCGTATGCGGGCTGTGTTCTTGCCATGTCCCTCTAAAAAATAGTCATTAAAAATTCTGGACACTTCTAGCCGTGTCGGACACGTCTGGTCCTGTCTCTGTTGTGTCCTTGTCCGGCACCACCATGGCACCTTTGACGGAGTGTTTGTGCTTCCTAGTTGCTGGCTGGAAATGCTCTGCTAGTTTTATTGCCCCTAACTGGTTTGAATTGTAGAAGCTCACATCTAGAGTAAATATCTAGTACTACTAATACTTATATGCTTTGGTTAGTCAAAGGTTCCATGGAGAATGGCACATATTACAAGCAGGGGCGGACCCAGAACTTTAGGTAGGGGGGGGGGGGGGGGGGGGGGGGGGCAAAACTGAAGTTTTGTAATAATTTCAGTGGGGGCATTAGCAATATTTTATGGGTATATATTGAAAAAAGGAAAAAAATAGCATGCTATATTAGTAAAAAAAATATTAAAAAAATCAGGGGGGCAATTGCCCCCCCTCACTTGCACATAGGCCCGTCCCTGATTACAAGTATGTGATATATACTGAGTACCGAGAATGCAGGACTGGAATATTAAGTGGTAGTTGAATTTATCTTATGTTTGATTTATTAATCATGCTCACTATATTGGTTATGGATGTTAATATCTTTTTTCCCCTGAAATGTGATTGATTTTGGAGAGTTTGTGATTTGGGTCTTCTTGGTTCTCGAATCTTCTCTTGCAGTAAGACAGGGTTGTTTAGAATGTGCATCTTCCTCTGTGCTATTGTATGAAATTATGTACATGACTAGTGTATGAATTCAAAAGGAAATTTCTGAAGTTTGCTACTAGTTTTTTATTTTACCATCTTATGTTGATATATTGTTAAGCAATATCAGTATTTTCGGTAGGTGCATGTAATGATCTTTAGTTTTTGTATTTGATTCAGATTCTTAGTGGGAAGGACCGAAGGACAATACGGGACAGAGCGCAGAGTTGGGGCACGTGGATTATTAAACAAGAGCATGTATAATGTTGGAATTACTAATGGCGAGCAATGAAGTTTGCTGTAGGTTTTTTGATGCTGCAGAATATTTTTGTTGAAAATATGTTCCATTAATTTAGAAGATGGTCATCCGAGCTTGAGCGATATTCATGTGCCACCCTTCTGTTGTGGAACCGGATTTTGATGATAAAGTCAAATTTATGAAAGATTTCAGAATCGTGGTTTTTACCTTACTTTCATTTGTTCCTATATCTGACTTCTCAACTTGAAATAACCATGCACTTACTTTTTTTTTTTTGTTGACTAGTATGCCTTGAAATGATGCCCTAGAAGGTGGGTTTAGAGGTGTATGGGAGAGAGTGAGTTTATCTGACATGACCTGCATCAGGTTCTGGAATGTCATTTGATCAAGTGTATGTGGAGCTTCACAATCACATATGACCAAAAAGATTGTTACTCCATTTAGAAGTTTATTTACATGAATCTGTATTTTCCATTGCATTTTAGTTTTGTCATCATGGTCTTTCAGACTTGGTTTTTGGCATCAGCGTTGCTTAATGTTTATATTTCAGAAAGTTTATGTGATGGTTAAATATAAAATGAATTATGTATATATATATATATTAATGTTGTGATGAACATTGCTGAACATAAAAAGCAGAATGTGGCAAATTTCATATATGATTTCATGAGGAACTAAGAGCAAATGTTGTGTTACAGAAAAAACTCGTTGCAACTTCCATCACTAGGTGTCATGATTCATAACTTTCGCATTTTTTTCAATCCCCTCTAATATTACAACTACATTCCTTGATTTGAATTCTCAGCTAAAATATAGAAATTCCTCTCTATCATCTCCTTTAATTAACAAATTACACCACCACATTTGAACTTTTCCTTTAAAAAATTGACTCATTCAATCTTTGAAGTTAATTTATATAATAATAATAATAATAATAATAACAGTTAAGTGGAGGCCAGCATTCGTTGCACTTACTGATATTTCTACACCTAAATTTGGCATCAATAAACCCTATACATAGAGGCCATCATTGCCCACTCTGCAAAGCCGCCAAACTGCAAAAGGCACAATTGGTTTAAATTTTTTTTTTTTATTTAAAATTTAAAATTAAGTGTTGTCTTCGATAACTGACACTCAAAAAATAAAACATTTTATTATTTTAAGTTTTACATTAGTCGAAGTGTTACAAAATTTACCCCCGTAACACGAAGTCATAATGGGGATCAACCACCTCGTAAACCTTTTGATGAACATCCGCGACCCGAGGTTAGAAAGACTGAAATAACCCAGGCACCAAACTGTCTGACCAAATATCAATGGGACTGCCCATTTCTCAATTGAGGCAATTTTGTGTCAAATCAAAAGATTGGAAGACTTGATACTCTAAAAATTCTGAACTATTACATAATTATAGGAGTATATGTATATACATTTATATTTATGAATATGTTAGAAGCTATGAAACACGGCCACTCCTCCCACGGGCTCCGTATCGGTGTTGAATACTTTTCAGACACCGACACTCGTATTCGAGGTTCGGACACGTGTCCGACACATATGTAAAGTGTCCAAATATTATTTTTTATTGGACACGCGTGCTCGGACACACGGTCCGATACTTCTGTGAGACAAAATGTATTTTCTCTCACCCCTCTCAGTCTCTCCTCTTCTTCAATTATCTCTCTTCATGAACAAGATATATATATATATATATATATATATATATATATATATTTAAGTTACATGAATAAAACTTTGTGAAAGACTAAAAGTATATATGTTTATTCATATACATATTTAGCTCATTATAGTTATGTCTCTTCTGCACATCTTCGTTTGAAATTTGGATCAATTTTATTTTTCATTTATTTTCTGTTTTGTCTTATCTATATTTTTCTTATAACAGAGATGAAATTATTGAAATTGATTATATTTTTTGTTATTGTTTTATTTATCTGTACAAGATTTTAGTAATTATATTTTGAATATACACACATATATATATATATATAATTTTATAGGCGTATCCAAGTCGTGTCCGTGTCCTATTTTTTTAAAATTTACCGTATCGTCGTATCCGTGTCGTATCGTACCCGTATCTCGTATTCGTGTCCGTGCTTCATAGGTTAGAAGGCAACTGAAGTGCCAAATGTCATGAATTTATAGAGGACCAAACGACCAACTTGCTATAAACTAGAGTTCGGGACTAGCAGCCTATTATGGTAACAATCGTCTCTCACATTTTAAGTTCATCCAACTTTTACTGCTTGTTTCATCTACTCAGGTGACCTCCTCTCTCTCTCTCTGTCTCTGTGGCTGTGTGTTTGTGTGTGTTTTTCTTTCAGTGAAAAATATGAGCTGGTGGAGTAGAAATGCTTGGATATTAAGAGGGTCCCTTCAAATTAAACACACACACACCCATATTTCATCCCTCTTTTTCTCCCTAGTTTGACTTCCAATTTGTACCACTGTTGCCTAGAATGTCTGACCAGTATTGCTTTGTAGGTTGCAGGATCAATTTCCATGGCAGGAGGAAGAGTACCAAAACGGAGACGGTCCAGTGCTCCTTCATATTTAAAGCGACCTACGCCAAGCTTCATTGGATTCAAGTAAACATTCATATAATTCTCTCCTTTTTCTGTTTTAAGTATCTTCTAGGGCAAAGTGCAAAAAAAAAACCCTCAATTATGTCTAAATTTGTAAATAACCTCCTAAATTATGTTTTGTACAAAAAAAAACTATTTAAACTATTGCAACTAAATGTCCCTTTATCTTACCTATTTTTCAATAGATGACCATAACATCTTTCTTATTGAATTACACTTCATATATTTTTCTTGTTAAAATAAATTATGAAAAAAAATTCATACTAATTTAATGAAATATTCTCCATTATATTTGCATAAATTTGCCTTTTAGAATTAATTATTTAAATAAAAATCTTAAATAGAAAATTTTGAAAAAATTTAAGTAATTTCTTAATTTTCATGAATATATTGTATTAAAAAGTAGATATTTTTTAAGTTTGTCTTTAATTTTTAAAATAATTATTTAAATAAAAATCTTAAATAGAAATTTTTGAAAAAATTTAAGTAATTTCTTAATTTTAATGAATATATTGCATTAAAAAGAAGATATTTTTTATTTACGTAATTTATTAATTTTTCTTGTTAAAATAAATTATGAAAAAGAATTCATACTAATTTGACTAAATATTCTCCATTAAATTTGCATAAGTTTGCCTTTAATTTTTAAATTAATTATTTAAATAAAAATCTTAAATAGAAAATTTTGACAAAATTTAAGTAATTTCTTAATTTTATTGAATATATTGCATTAAAAAGAAGATCTTTTTATTTACGTAATTTATTAATTTTTCATGAATATTGTTTGAAAAAGAAGATATTTTTTTATACTAATTTTTTTTTTTTAAAAAATGAGTATAATAAATTTTATTATAATAAATTAATCATTTTAGAAAATGACAGCTACAAATTTATTTATATTTTTCCATTTTTATAATCAATTGATACTAATTATAAAATTAAGGTAAATGGTATAATTAATATTAAAATAAAAGAAAATATAATAAAAAACAATTTAATAAGAAATGACAAATTTAATAACAAAGGGTAAAATAGTCTTTTGTGATGCGTTTGTCCTTAATTGCAACAAATCAATAGTTTAGGGGGGCAATTTTTAGTTCACGTTTTTTTTTTTTTTTTTTTTTTTGCACTTTACCCTATTTTATATAATAATTTGTTTTCAAATGCTATGTATGATATCAGGAACGATTATTTAGAAGAACAAAAGTCTAAGGGTGTCGACAAGCCTTACCAAGATATAGTCAGACAGGCTGCCGAGCTCTGGAAAAAAATGAGTGCCAAAGAGAAGGAGCCTTATGAGGCAGCCTACTTGAAAGAATTGGAAATCTACAGGAAGGCTCAAAAGGTAATGTGTTATTAGATACCACCAAGTAACATTCAATTTTGTTATTATAATCTCGTACATTGATTCATTGACATTGTAAATTTTTATTTTGTTATTGTTGAGGAGGAATGCCACCATTTTTATATATCCCAAGAATGCATCAGAAAATGCCTTTTCATAATGTGTTTTGAATTTGAGATTCCAAGTTGCATCACTTTGAGATTGAAATTATACCATTTGTAATTTGAGTTTGTGAACAGTTTTAGTTTTCTATTTTGAGTTTGCAACACTTCTAATTCAACTTTAAAACCACTTTTAGTTTTGAGACAACACCATTTACAATTTAAGCATGCACCACTTTTGGATTGAGTTTTCACCATTTATGATTTAGTTTTCATACTAGTTTGACTTCCAATTTGTACCACTGTTGCTTAGATTGTCTGACCAGTATTGCTTTGTAGGTTGCAGTATCAATTTCCATGGCAGGAGGAAGAGTTCCAAAACGGAGACAGTCCAGTGCTCCTTCATATTTGAGTTGGTATGGAGAGAAATCTTTAAAGCGACCTACGCCACGCTTCATTCGATTCAAGTAAACATTCATATATTTCTCTCCTTTTTCTCTTTTAAGTATTTTATATAATAATTTGTTTTCAAATGCTATGTGTGATATCAGGAACGATTATTTAGAAGAACAAAAATCAAAGGGTGTCGACAAGCCTTACCAAGATATAGTCAGAGAGGCCTCCGAGCTCTGGAAAAAAATGAGTGCCAAAGAGAAGGAGCCTTATGAGGCAGCCTACTTGAAAGAATTGGAAATCTACAGGAAGGCTCAAAAGGTAATGTGTTATTAGATACCACCAAGTAACATTCAATTTTGTTATTATAATCTCTTACATTAATTCATTGACATTGTAAGTTTTTATTTTGTTATTGTTAAGGAGGAATGCCACCATTTTCATATATCTGCACTCAGACACCTGGTTTTTCTATTTGCAATATTACTTATATTTTTTGTTAAAATTTTGAAAATGTCCCCTCTCAATTTGTAAAATTTTTAAAAATACCTTCTATCAATTGATAAAAATACCACACTTCACATTCTTGCCGCCATTGATTTTTTTGGATCTAAAAGATAATCATCTCTTTTTCACTCTCTACAGCCCGCCACATTCATGATTCAATTTTTTTATTCTTCAACAGCGCCTCCCCTCAACAAAATTCCTGGGTCCGTCACCGTCTGAACTGTCTACGTTCATCGAAGTCATATCCCAATTCAGCGAG